GGTAAGAGTTCTTTAATCTGAATTTTGCAATTCATAACTAACATGAACAGACTTGAGTTTTAGGTGATAATTAGATGTAATGCTAGAGCTATATCTTACTTTTGAGTCCTTTGCAGATAACGTCAAATTATTTACCTTAAAATGGGTTAATATATGTCCATTTCCTATGATACTTTTCTCCTCATCCTCATTCATGTCTTTTGCGCAGCCCTGTGATATGTAGCAAAAACTTTATCAGTTCAGAGTGCCCGTGGCACCCTGCCTGCAGTGATGCTCAGGTGCATTACAAGTGGGAATGAAGAGAAAACTTCTAAGAAATAAACCCAAATATTTCTGTGAAGTTTGTTCCTCTGTGTGGGGGTGGAGGTGATGTGTTCCTTTCTCCCTTGGTGGACCCAAGCCCTGAGTTAATAGTATCTAACTGTGAGGGGATAAAACATATAAATATTGTGTCTGCCTACACCTTATCTGTTCTCCCATCATCCATGGCTTATAGACCGAGCACTGCTTGGCCCCCTTCTGGGGCTCCTAAGTCTCTATCTCCAAAAAGCTTTATTTCTGCCCAGGGGAAAGGGGGCTAATAGATTAAAAATGTGGGGATGTATTTGGAAGAGTGAGCCCTGTAGTTCTTTCTGCAATTTTACACACTACTACCAACTAGTGCATAGCAACAGCTAACAACAGGGACTTCTCTGTGTCCTCTTCAGTCTGAATGCTAAGTACTAAAAACAGATGCTAATTGTATGGTTCCAGAAAAAAAGGAAAAGAGCATGCTGGGGTGACTCAGGACATATTCCTACTGTTGTGCAAGGACAAATAGTATTTAGATATGTGGAGATTTGTCTGTGGTTAACTGTGGCTTGTTGGGGGGCAGGAGAGGGGTATGCATGTGTATGCAAAAACTCACAAGCACCACCCTGAACTATTTTAAGTCTTGGAGATGAAACTGGTGATTATCTCCTAAGCTGTTAGCAAATGGCTATTCAGTGCCATGGTGGGACAAACTGAACTCAGTGACAAATAAAGAATGGGATAATAAACAGAATTTTATGTGTCTCCTTTGAAGCATAAAACTTGCTACAAATTACATGTCATTAAACAAAGGCATAAAAACTTATTGGAAAACAGAGGGTGGCAACACTTCCACAAAAATGTAAATGTGACTCTGATGCATATATTTTTACCTGAGGGAAATCAATGCCTGTGAAAACATTCAAGACAAGAATGCTTATGAAAATGAAAACAGTCAAGGCAAGAATTTATTACCCTACGATTTCATTTTTTTATTGTATTCTCAAATATCCAGCCAAGTGATAGGAATGCAATGCTCTGGGTTGCAGTCACCCTTCTTTCAGTGCTTGACTGTATGCTCTGCCAAGGAATTTAGTACAACTTTTTACACCTCAGGTTACACACTTTATTTGTAATTAGGCATCTAAATAGTTAGCATCATTGTCTTAGTGAATAAGCACATGAACAGAAAACTTCTTTAGAAAAGTTAACTGAAATTGCTAATTTAGGTGACTTGCAAGTACAAAAGTTTAACAATGGTGTAGAGAGCTTTCCAGCACCTTCAGTTACCTTAGTCAGAGGAATTGTTACATGATATTTTATGCTGCAGCTGGTTTTTCTCACTGTAAAACTCCATATACTGGAGTCAGGTTATTAATTAAGAAATATTTTTTGGCACTCTGATGTGACTTATACCCCAAAAGAACCTGTAGCATGCTTTGGTTCCAAGCAGTTAGCTTCCCCAGGCCCTTTGAAGTGTTTCCTTGAATGTTTGAATAACAAAATCTTTCACAGAAGAGTTCCTTGGTATGGTTCTTCCTTGTCTCATCTGATCTAAAGTCTGTCTTTAGGGCATCTTCTTCACCTTTTGGTCAGACATAACTATTTCTATATGCTCTAAACTGCTAATAGGTTTGTTTATACAGACTGTAAGTGGTTAGCAAGAAGGAAAGCTATTTTTACAGCCATTAAAAATGAAAATCATGCTTCTGACATCACTTTACAAACTAAGCCTTCAGGTTATGAGGTCTCATTTCGTGCAGTGAAATGTCAGGTTCATTGCTAGACATTATGCTACTCTCCAGTTCTAACCTCCAGGCTGCAAAGTCCTTCATTACAACCTCCAGAGCAGACAGGACTCTGCTGTCAGGTTGAAGCCTGGAGCGAAAGGGGAGCAGCAGGTTATAGTGGAGGAGCCCTCTGGGACCCTGCAGCCATGGGAAGCTGCCTGTGGTGTCCAAGGCCATAAGAGCAGTAGCAATCAGCAACTTGCCAGGTCACCAAAAGGCTCCTAATGACACAAGGCCACAACTTGCTGGTCTCTGGCTTGGCAGTCCACAGTGTGACTGTCTGTGGATGGGAGGAATAACCTTTATGTTTGGCCTGAAGATATTAATTTATTTTACTATAACACACTATCCCATCAGGGCTAGGTATGGAGGCACAATCTGTATATTTACATGAATTACTAAGGCAATTGTGACCAGAATATTTGTAAGAAATGTCTCTGGCAGGCCTAAGGATTTCCAGTTTCTCTGCCTGTGTACATTTGGGGGTTGCTGGTATGACTGGCAAATGAAGAACCTGATATAAGAAGAAACCAAGACTTGTTTCCAAACTTTTAGCAATTTTATGGCAATTGCAGGCACAGAATAAACAGTGACATCCTCCTGTGCTAAAGGCAAGCTGGGTACTCTGCTTGTGGTGTCCTCTAGTATTAGGGGCAACATCTGCATTGTCCTGCTATTTTAAAGCTCCAGATGCTGTTAGGCTGATACCTGTGAATGTGGGCTTTTGTTAAAAAAGAAAATAGTAATTTAAAAGCAAGTTTTCAATATGATGACAAGAAGTTTGAAATTGCAAACCTTAAATGACCTCAAACCAGAAGGCAGCAAAGTCAATACTTCTAGTTTATTTAGAACTAGAATTTTTTATCCAACTTTTGGTGGATGCCCAGAAATGGATTCAGTTTCAACAAGTTGTTTGGCTTTCCCTGCACATGTTCTGCCACTGGAACACAGTGTCCAATGTCACTTCTCCTACCAGTGCTGCTGGAGCGAGAGGGTTTGCCACTGTGAGCTTCTGTTTACACTGGCTGCACCATGGCTCATTTTTGTGGTTCTTTCCCTCCTTCTTGCCAAATACTTAGGTTTCCCCTGCCAGAAATAAGAAGATGGGGTGAGTGAAGGGTTATGGGGTGAGTGAAAAGCAAAGATGGGGTGTGTGATGACAAAGGGAGTAGAACTGGGAAGTGTGGGGAGAAATGAAGAAGAGGAAGCTGAGATATTGGGAATGCATGTAAGACTCAAATGGTATGTGTCATTGAACCTCCAGCACTTCCAAGACAGAGCTCTAAACAAGATTATTTTTGTCTGGTTACTATAAACCAATAAACAGGAAATGTGTTATAGTAATAAACAAAGGACAGGAAAAAGGAAACACCACTAATCAAACAGGAACACAGCCTGGGAACATGAAAAAGGAACAAACAAGAGTTATGTTTTGCCCAATTCTCACTCAGGATTGAGAGCGGTAACAAGTATGACAAAACACAGGACAAAAGAGAGGCACTTGTGGCAGGACAGAAATGAAAACCAACATTCTCAGAGACATTTTGGGCCTTGTTTCCTGCGAGGAAAGAGGATGGGAACTCTTGATGCAAACTCTAGCTGCTGTTCTACCTCTTACACCAGAAGTTTTAGAAGTGTATCTGCATCCACGTATGAAATTGTAACTACCTCACCTCAGAGCTGTCTCGTGTCTTTAGCACACATTTGCATCAACAGAATGAAGCTATTTAGCATGAAAACATGTTCAATGCCCAGCAGTCACCAGAGCTAGGCTGTGTTCATGCTGGATGGAAAGTGAAAATACAATCTTTTTTCACTGTTTATACATACATTTTTTATATATATGTGGAGATATATATATATATATAGGTATAGATATATATACACACATAAGCATGCATTTCTTTGTGCAGGAACATCCTATTTCCAGCATTTCTAGGTCTTACTTCAGGGCTAGGGAGTATCCTCTAATGCATTCTCTGTTCTTTTTTCATATGTTTGTTCTGTGTTTTAGCCACAAAAACCTCTTTAGAAAACAGACTGTTTCTGTGGAGAAACTTTAGTTAAAAATAAGTCCAAGTGTTCCTCTGGATGTTTTTTCCATGAGGGCAATTCTGAAAACAAGACTACTTTCTTGGAAATATTCTGTTACAAATTTGATTGGTATATGATTCACTTAATTTCATGGGTTCATGTTCCACATAAAACACACAGGTGAATAATGAAGAATCATTTGGATATACTTTCTGCAAGTAGGATATTCATAAATAGAAAGCTCAAAGGAGAAAATGAGCTTCCAGTGGATAAAAACATTTGAAACATGTGACTGTTCTTCATTAATGATCTAGATAACAAAGCAGACTGCACCATCAGCAAGTTTGTACAATACAAGGAGGAGTGGTTGACGTGGGTGTCATTCTGGGAAACTTTGACATGCTGAAGAAATCAGACAACAAGAAATTTAAGAAATTCTAAAAAAGGAAATGGGGATACTAAGGTACTTAGGCCACAAGCAGGCATTGTGGTGGTACCCGTTGAAAAGACAAGAAGCAATGTGCAGACACTAAAATATAAGAAAATCCATTTAAACAAAAGAAAAAATATTGCTGTAGAGGTGATCATACTCTGGCACAGGTTTTTCAGAGTGGTTGTGGAGTCTCCATCTGTGGTGGTATTCAGAAAGTGACTGAGCAATCTACTTTAGCTGACCCTGCTTTGAGCAAAGGAGGATGGAGGGGTTTGGCCTTGATGATCATGAGAGGTCCCTCCCAGTGTTAACTGCTTCGTGATGGTGTAAAATTAAATAAAAACCCACCACAACAATGGCAGGCTGAAGATAAATGAGTGTCAATTCACAGTGAAAGACAAGAAGGGGAACATTTTGCAGAGCGTCTCTGGCTGCTTCACTTCTGAACACACCCAAAAAGCAAGGAGATGCTGCTGAACAGTGCTCTGGAAGTACAGGTGACTGGGCAGCTGACATCAGAAGGGGCTCAGCAGTTGAAGGAGCACTCTGGGCCTTCCTCCACCAGACACCACAGATGGCTGAACCAGGAGGCAGTGGGTGAGGCAAATCATGGCTTCTGGAATGAGAGAAAAGAAGTGCAGGTGGAGTCTCAGCAGGCTGTTTGGAGAGGGTTTACATGCTGGCACAGTGGCTGTGGAGATATGGCTGGCTTCTACTGTGTGCCTCAGTCCTCTTACCTCTCCTGAATGAATACAGGGTTGTGTCCAGCCCAAATGGATGCTAAGCTGCTTGGGTGTGGCATGAGTGATTTCTCATTCGCTCTGGTCATCACCTGCTTCTCTCACTTTTCCTCCCAATTGGCTTCAGCTGATCATCCAATGCCTACCAATCATGGCATAATTACTTAGATATTCCTCAAGCAGCTCTTTGGAAAGTACTATCCAACATAAGGATGGCAGAAGGATAGGCTGAAGCATATCCATTTCCCTGGTCTCTTTTGGGTCCTTGTGCCAGAAAATAGCACCTTGGAGGTCTGGAGAAAAGAGACTAACCAGGGCTGACACCCACAACATTCATGACCTTCCCATGGGGTAGCTTAAAGATGGGAGTGAGACAGCACCCCATCAGAGACCAAGGTATTTGCAGCTTTAGCAGCAGGCTGTGCCTATAGCTATATTACTCCATCAGGGAGAAACATGTGCTTGCTTTGCTCATGGTCAGGATGAATTAATTGCTTCACTGCTGTGCCAGAAGCCTGGCTCTGACAGGCTGTGAGCACATTTTATAGGCTTCCATCTTCCCTGCAAATGCCCCAGCTTCAGAAATGCCTTTGACTGGCATCAGAAGGTAATTTAGGTGTTCACTGCCGTCAGCTCATTTAAGCTGTCAAATACAGACCCTGTTCATTAGTTTTTCACACCATTTCAGTCTCTGTTGTCTGGTTTTGCCTTCCCAATACAAGTAAAAGATTTGGCAGAGCAGCATGTGGGGAGAAATAAGAGATTCAGAATGGACAGCCCTGCCTACATGTCAAATCATTTAATTAGGCAAAGGGCTCAGTCAGACTGGGAAAATAAAATGTAATTAAACTGATTTCACTTAATTTGTGTATTAAAAGGACTAATCCCCGCTAAAATGGCAGGAACAGGAGAAACCACAAGTTTTGCCTACATGAGACCATGCTTAGGTCGTGAACAGAAATACCAAGTGTGGTGAGCAGGACATCTCTGACTCTGAGCACCCAAAATACTGCACAAGGTTCATGTTCAGAAAACATAAGGATATCAGCATGCATCACCAAATATGTCTGTGATTTAAAATGCTAGTAAATTATGATTCCCAGACATATGAGCCAGATCTACAGCTTTAATAAAGTGCCACATTTTTCTTCAGGTCATAGTTTGAACCCATGCCTGATTCAGATAAAACTTCTGACACTCAGTTTTTTTGTTGATCACAAGTATGAAGGATTATTGGTAATAATGGTTGAGCACTCACACTGGCCAAGTGCACAGCAAGCAAGTTCTTTATGCAGTCCATTTCTTCTCAGTATTATTAGTATTTTTTAACTATTTAAAGCTTAATTGGTCTTTTAAGTTCTTGGCTAGGCTCTTATTCTGCTGTCTGAATGAAAATAAAATTAAAAAACCCTAATGAAAAATTCCTGACAGATATTTTTGTGCCACTAAGCTGATACAGGTGCAATACACCATCTCACTAAAGCAAATTACTCTGGCTCTGAAAACTTGAGACGTTTATTCTTGAGTCCAAATTTAAAAACCTTTAAAAATCACATTAGAAGTAGAAACCTGGTATAAAACAAACCAAAGTCTGCGTAAGTTAGTTTTGGCAAAATGAGTAAAGAAAACAGAACAAAATAAAATATGATCAAGGGAAGGGGAAACCCACAAACATAAAGGCACTTACTGTGTAATTTTTTCAAAGTAGATTTTCACCAAAACTAGTGCATAAACTCAAAACTTCATTAAAACATAAAGCCTGAAAGGATTTAGTGGGTGAGGCTCTTGTTTATTATGTGTGACTGTGATGTCAGTCCAGGTGAAGGCTGTAATGAAAACAATTCCAAGATTTTAGTCCAGTTTCTTTGAAGGTTAACCCAACATCACAAACACATCAAGTCATATAACACCCATGGGCAAGGCCAGGGTTCCTTCCATCCAGATAGTCCAGACTGTATGGACAGTACATATACTAACCTACAAGTAGTTTGTGGGATGGTGGCTCAGTAAACATAGGTTAAACTATTATCAGTAGTTTGGAAAAGATAAATGGCCAATCTTTCCAGAAACATACATCTGTCTTCAGCATGAAAAATATTCTCCAGGTCTGAATGTCCTCAGTATTTGCACAAACAACTACCTGAGGGCACCTAATTTGCAGTTTACTCCTGAGTGCTGTGCACACTCATGTCACACATGATGCAGACCATTAAAAAAGTAAAGCAAACAGCACTTTTTTAGGTTATATGCCAGAAACCCAGAATGGAGAAGAGAAAAGAGAGGAACTCAGCTGAGACAGGAAACTCACCCACATACCAAAAACTTGACAAGATTTTTATGAAATGCTTAAGAGAAACTCCTCTCAAGAGGCCCCATAATGGGCCTGAAGCAGCCTCCAAAACCCAAATATCTCATGAACTTCTTTGCATGAGCCTGTTCCTAAAGAAAATAAAGGAGGGGGAAAGAAATTCCTGATTTTGATTTGGAAAAGAAGGAATATTTTCTTTCCAGATAGAAAATTTGTGATATGCTACCTCTGTCTGTTCCTCCCCGGGAAAAATGCAGGGAAATTTTCTATTAACACTTTCGTAACTTCACCTGGGTTAAAAGAATTGCTACAGGTCTTTTTTAAGGCTTGGCCACTGTGCACTGAGGGAACTGTCACACACATGTACACACAAAAAACTGCATTACCTTATTATGGTGTATGCACCACAGCCTGAGAAATGTACCTACATTAAACACAATCCTTTGCTAAGGAGGCCTTTATTCCAATGTTTCAGGAAGGAAACCAGTCTCTTGCAAAGCATGCATTTCAGATTTCTAACTCAGGCTGTCAGGGGTGGTGCTCTGTGTGTACCCAGCTCTCCCTGACCACATTTTCTCTCATGTCCTGCACTAACAGCAGAGGGGATCCACTACTCCCTTTTAGTACCTGGATACCTTTTCTGACACTGTGTATGAAGTCCTTGGGTTTTCTGGAAGCTGAAATGTTGATTGTGAAGCCAATGAAATGTGCTGGGAGACAGAGCAAGGCTCTGGGGCACGTGAGACTTTACTCTGTTGGCTGCATGCATTTACCTCTCAGTATTCATCAGTATGGGCCCTATCCTCAACAGAGGTCCTAAAACCATGCCAGACCCTTTTCATGAGAAGAGAGTAGTGTTATTGTTTCTTCCACATATACTGAATGTCCCTTTTGGAAAAGGTGGGGGGCAGAGTCTTGTGTTTTCCACAGGTTTCACTTGTTGGATGAATCATGAGGAAACACCTCTGCCAGGAACACGGTGTGTCAGACCCTGTGAAAGCATGAACAGAAAATGCATAGAGAATCAGACCTGCAGGCAATGTAGATCTGCTAATAGCTTGTTTAAGAAGGGCTTAAACAGGTAACAGCATGGACATACCCACACTTCAGTAGTTATGACATGCTGAGAGGCAGTAATTTAGGCAGGCAGACAGCTCCATTGTCTCCCTAGGCAGGTGTGTTGGAAAAGCTGCTTGGAGATTTGAGGGCTGAATTCAGGTAGCTGAAGTGGCAGGTGGGTGCCTCAGCCCCTCTGGGGCCTGATCCTCCTGTGGTTTGCTAAATGCAGAGTAGGAAACTGAAATTTTCCTGCATTACTCAAAGAGAGATTGTGCTGTTAGTAAAAAACCCCAGACTGCTACAAGTCTTTGTGATTTCTGCAAGGAAGACCTTGCCACAAGCCCAGGCAGCTGTATCCCAGCACAACCTTTAGAGACAGATTTATGGAGCTCTGCCACTGGCCTCCATTGAGCGTGAGCTCCCCCAGTGCTTACAAAGTAACGTGGAGCACATTCAAACTCCAGCTAGCCCTTAAATATCCTACTCTAGATGTATTTTCCTGACCCATATTTCTCATCACTGTGGCAGTCTTTGGCTCTGGTTTGTAAAAGCCAGCAGCAGAAGAAACCATGCATTATATTTTTTTGTTCTGAATTTGTTGGATTATTTTCCATCTGTCAACACCAGATCCCCCACCCGCAAAGTAGCAAGTTAGAAAGACTTCTGCTAAAAATTGCCACCTAAATAAGCTACCACTAAATTCTGCTAACTGAGCATTTTTGCACGATGTATGAGGGACCCAGATTTGCCTGGTGGCTGAACTGACTCAGTCTGGGTTTCCAGGCAAGTGCTGCCTGCCTGGGCTGTGGTCCAGACCTGAGTACTAAGTCAGCCTTAGGCTGAAGAAGGAGCCCACAAGATGGTGCAGCACTTTGGTTTGGGTACACCGAGATTCAGCAAGTCCAGGGACACAGAGTACAGGCCCTAACTAACACATGCAGAATAACACAAATCCTGAGGTCTTCCATAATTCAGCATCTTTGTAAATGTAATGACCATTAATAAGTTGTACAGACATCCCTTGGATTTTATGTAGAATTAGAAATTTTCATAGAACTAGATAAAGACTTAGGTTGATTAGGACATTTAACGACTGAGTAAAAGGACTTACATTTGAAAGCCAAATGCCATAGGGCATATGCTCACTAATTTCTCAAATCACTTCTGTGGAGATAAGTAGCAAACATATCTGCAGTTCTAAACATTTCTGCAGTTTTAAACCAAAGGAGAAATTTTTTAAAAAATATTATTTTAAAATAATTTTTGATGATTTATGAACAAGAAATTATGGCAGAATGGCACTTGTGTCATGGCCAGCACAGCATATGAGGGGAAAGAAGAGATGGCTGGGCACAGCACAGTTCTACCTCAGAAGTTCTCTGAGTCTTGAGAGGGTCCCCAGAGTTCTCTTTCCCCTAAAGCTTTAATTAGTTTGCTTATTGTGAAGCATTTATATTTTTTAGCATCTAATAGCAGTTAGGCATTTGCTATTACACCTTTACTGGAAAT